ACCTCCATACAAGTGTTAAATTAAGCTGTGGATGAAACCGCCTTTTTTATGGCTAGCTTCATGTGATTTTGCGATGTAAACAAAGAATCAGGTTTAGCGTCCTGCAAAATAGTGCAAATAGTGACTGGGGGAAGCCTGTTTTGATGGAATAGTTTCACACGGTCTGATAAAATCTTATAATGGCTGATTCTGCAAAAAAAAACCTCCAGAAAACCAAACTTAAGATGTCAGTGGTGTTTAACAGTTGAAGCTTGCATAGACTTTAGCTCTGGAGGATCTCGCTTGACTTATTAAAACCACAGACATTTTGTTAGTGGGGTGGGGTTCATGCAGAACGTTTTTTTGCTGATATCGCTATATGTGCACGAACATCTGCACAAAATCAGCTGCATTGTGCTAGATGGTATTTGACAGCGATATGGACCGATCTAAGTAAGAAACCCAAAATCAACATTTTATCATCTGTTAACTTAATTCGGGCTGTATCTCGGATTTAGCCCAAGGTGCAATGCGACTGATTTCGTGCAGATGGGTCACATATGAATTCATTCACACCAATTCCAACCAGTCGGTCTTGAAACGTTGACATTTGCAGCCTCCCATCTACCGTTGGCATCAACTATTGCAGGAGACCTGTACACAATAGAATTACAGGCCAGCAGCTGTTTCTTGATATTTACTGATGTACGCTGCAGCTATCACCCCTGACTGTCCTTGATAACTGGATAATTGGTGCCCAACAACTGAAACTTGCCTACACCTTCGCTCTTGAGGAGCTCATTTGACTCAAAGTTACAGATGATTTACTAACAGCATTGGGTTTTTGCAAAACTTTTTAAAAACTTTCCAACAGTCTAGCTCAAAACGTGGATATTTACAGAATCATTGCCAACAAATATGTCAGGAGATCGTTGTATAAGAAATATAGGCTGGCAGCTATTCTTTGTCTTCACTGTACGGCTTTCTGGTCCTTCGTTATCACCACCACTTATTACCAAAACTGTTTTTTATGCCTTCTGACTGGTTTACCCTCGTAAGCTCACTGCAGAGGTTAGACCATGCATTGAAAATGGAACTTTTTCTATAACATGTAGGCAAACATGCAAGAACACAGCAAGGAAGTTGCTGTTGTTTTCCATAGTGAGAGGAATTTTTAAAAAACTCTAACGCGCACAAAGTGGATTGGCCGGAGAAAGCTGCCTGAAATCAGCAGCCAATAGCAGGCTTATAAGCACACCTTATATCTATGGAGCTGAGCTATTTCTGCCCTGTAATGTTGGAATACCACCTCTTAATTCTTAGTGCCAGACTCAAGAAAACGTTCTCCCTTGACTAGTATAATGTAATCTGCTGGAGAGGATTTTCCTGTGGTAATAAACAGATCTTTGAGGAACTTGACTTCACTGCTTTGTGAGCATTGCTCCCCTAAATGACCTCAGAGAAGCCTGAACGCAGGGAACGCCGAGTGAAGTGATGAGGATCTCATTTTCCTCCCCTTCTCTCTTTTTGTGTCTCAGGGGGCATTCGGCTATAAATGGTGTGCTCTATGGTGCACACCCCATCCCATTCTTGCCATATGCCCTCCTCCAATCTTCCCACAATCTCCCTGGGGAGACCTGGGCTCTCCTCTTCGCTCGCCTTGTCACTGGAGAAAATTACCCAACTGCCAGCATATTTGTGACAGTTTAGTGAGCACTCCGTCTAAGAATATGGCAGTAAAGATTGCTCTATCGGTTCTGGATCATTTAGAATCCAATTTAATCCAGGCCTCCAGGAAAAAAGGCCAAATAAAAACAAAGTGGCTTAATTAAGAAAGCTGAGTGGCTGAGGACTGTTTATGTGGCAGGACACCGCTTGGCCTTCGAACACGCTTTCTCCCTGCAGGGGCAATTTTTAATACAATGCATATTAAGTTGGAATCCTTTAGACCAGAATAGTTAGTTGAAGAATTCAGACATGGTAGTGAGCTCACTGTATTGAAATGTAGCAGAGAAACATTACTGCTGCTGACACGACACAAATCTAGCTGATGGAAATCCTGTACTGAGCCAGACAGCTGAGGAGCTGGAGGTTGTGTTTAAGCTGTTGTTCTGAATTTGTGTCTTTTGTAGCTTTCTGAGTTTCTGTCATTATATATAATTTTACCCAGACTCAGAGTTGTTACAGATGTTGATATGTGGAGTGGTGTGTGCATATTCAGAATTAGGAGAGTCCCTGCAGTACTTAAACGAAGAGGTATAAATAGAGTTCAAACTTTGCTGCTATACTGTGATGGCAGATTTTGACTGGAAAGCTTGACATTATCTAATGAAACACCCCATCCGCATCAGTCAGCCCTTGAGCCCCCCACTAGAGAGCGTGTGTCTGAGTCTGGATCCTCTGATGGTCTGTACTTACTAATGGAGATAGATTCAGGCAGCAGTGGATGCCCGCCGCCCTCCTCCCTAACACCGTACTTGGCCACATCATTTCTCTCCCTGCCTTAATGTGCTGGTTCTCTCCTCTGAGGCTGTTGGGTGGGTTGTAAGTTGTCTCTTGACACCCCCCCTCTCTTTCCTCCTCCTTTTGCCAGAGAAAACAGCTGCCCCCCTGCAGACTCCTGTTCTGACAGCTCGGAGAGGAGAGATGGAAAGTTCGCCTCCTCTGCCGCAAGCTGTTTTGTATTCAAATAGTCTCCATGTTAAGTCTCCCCTACAGACAATGGTTTTGTTGTGTTATAGCCAACGGCTAAGCGAGCTTCTGTGTATATGAGCCGGCTAGAGAGTCTAGTTACAGCAGGTTTTTTGGTGTGGTCT